CTTAAATTCGTGTTGAGAGTAAATGACTTTTACTGAATAATGTTGTGAGGAAAATTATTGACAGGGAAGGGGAGAGCAAGTGTCAGAGGCTATGGGAAAACGGTATCATCACCAGGTGGAAATGACAAAATGAAGAGGCGAAAAATAAAATCTGAAAGTTTCCAAAGACAATATTTATTTGCTTCAGATGTTTCTTTCCTAAAGCTAGCCATTACTCGAGTCCTAAACATTTTGTGTGGTTCAGATATTTTGACAGCAACCACTACTGTTGCCTTGTGAATGACTTGGTAGCTGGTGTAACTAATCCACGGCTCACTCAGTCGGTTAAGACACAGAACTATTGCGTTTGACCTTGTATTTGCTCTGTGGTCATGCATTACAGAGTTCACGTGACAAAGCATTTTGTAACACTTGTAACAGTTTACACTTTGGTCATCGGTTTCCAAGTAGAACTTCAATGTGTTCAGAATCACTCCTCGGTTGGGTAAATAGAATGAGCTTCCAGGACAGGCTACATATTTTGCTGCTGCTGAGTTTTGGATAAAAGTTTAGAGACCAGCTCTTCAGGCAGAGATTAAAGACTTGTTCTGGACATTTATAGAACCCTTGTTGTATCATCAGTTACAGAAAAGTGAATGGAAAATTGCTGTGCCCTGTAATGCAGTGCTCANCTTGTTGTATCATCGGTTACAGAAAAGTGAATGGAAAATTGCTGTGCCCTGTAATGCAGTGCTCAGGGGAGCACTCAGGCAAAGATCCCGTCACAAAATGATGGCTCAGCGAAGACTTCCTGCGGGAGTCAAAGGAGACGTTCAGACATGGTGAGTTAGTTACATTCAGACATGGTGAGTTAGTTACACGTGCCGTGTCCGTATTCCTTTCCTGTTGATGCCGCAACAAATGACCATGGCCTGCTTGGCTTAAACAGCACAGGTGAATTCTCTCACAGCTCCGGAGGTCAGGAGCCCCTGACTGAAATCAAGGCGTCAGCAAGGGCGCTTCCTCAGGGAGCTCGAGCGAGAAGCTGTTCTCCTGCCTTTCCCAGCTTCGAGGCCACTCGCATCCCTAGGCTTGTGGCCTCTTCATCCGTCTTTCTTTTGTCCATCCAGTCTTTCTCCAGATGCCCAATTTCTAGGCCTTCTGCTTCCCTGTTTAGTGACCCTTGTAATGACAATGGGCCCACCCAGATGATTCAACATAATCTCTTTATCTTAAAGTCATCTCATTGGCAGCCTTAATTCCCCCTGCAGTCTTCATTCCTCCTTGTCTTGTATCATAACATAGTCAGAGGGTCCAGGGATTAGGATTTGGACATATTTGGGGGTCCTTATGCTGCCTACCATAATGTTAAAATAAATCTCCTTCCTGTATTATGAAATCCCAGGAGAGTCTTTAAAAACAAAATATTTCCTTGATACCATTAATGTCTTACTCATCTGTTTTTAAAAATTTAGGGTAAAACTGTCAAGTTTATTGTCTATTGAATTAACATATATATATGTATATATCTATCTATATACATATATATATGTATATACCTATCTATATACATATTGATATATACACACTTTTTTTTCTAGCTTTTCCCTCAAGCTTCTTTCTTTAGTTTCATTTACTGATCAAAAANCAAGTTTATTGTCTATTGAATTAACATATATATATGTATATATCTATATATATATACACATATATATGTATATACCTGTCTATATACATATATATAGATATATACACACTTTTTTTTCCTAGCTTTTCCCTCAAGCTTCTTTCTTTAGTTTCATTTACTGATCAAAAATCATTATTTTACAAAATAAATGTGAAGTTTTATTGCCAACTGTTGGTTTTTGGCAAAACATTCTACAATATTCTAGTTTCTTCGTATGAAGGAGTTTTAACATGCTAGAAACAGAAGGAAATGAATATTATAATTGACTTTTCAGACATCACTTTTTGGACCTTTGAAACAGAATACCTCTCAGAGAANCGTATGAAGGAGTTTTAACATGCTAGAAAGAAGGAAATGAATATTATAATTGACTTTTCAGACATCACTTTTTGGACCTTTGAAACAGAATACCTCTCAGAGAAAACATAAATGGGTACATATCAGAGGACACAGAAAAGGAAAAAATACCCATGATGGCATTTACACAGCGTTGTTATGCATTATTGTTTGTGGCAGTGAAATAAATATTCATTAGCGAAATGTCTTTTTAGTGGAAAGAAGCCAGAAGCAATAGCATACTTATACAGCATCAAGCTCCATGGGGGAAAAGCTGTTTTTGTTACTTTTCAATGGATTCTTTTTTAAACTCATAGAACATACTATTTAAGTAGATTGATTTCTACAACCTCTCAACATACTAATCATTAAAATTACTTTTATTGATGATATTGATAGAAAAGGTAAACTATTTACCACTGTGTCTNCACCTCTCAACATACTAATCATTAAAATTACTCTTTTATTGATGATATTGATAGAAAAGGTAAACTATTTACCACTGTGTCTTTTAGATAGTAAGAACTGACTAAATGGTACTTTAAAAGCTTTAAAGCCCAGCCCTGGCCACGTGGCTCAGTTGGTTGGATCATAGTCCCATACACCAAAAAGGTTGTGGGTTTGATTCCCGGGCAGGGCACATGCCTAGGTTACAGGTTCTATTCCTGGTTGNATTGTGGGTTGGATTCCCGGGCAGGGCACATGCCTAGGTTACAGGTTCTATTCCTGGTTGGAACACCTACAGGAGGCAACTGATTGATGTTTCTCCGTCACATCAATGTATTGCTCTCTCTCTAAAATCAATTAAAAAACATAGTTTGAAAAATGGCTTTAAAGCCCAGATTACCAATTACTGCATTATGATGATAATTGCCATTCTAATAATCTAACTTACTCCAAACAGATTTCTTACAGGCTCTACTGATTAGTAAAGAAATCACTTTAGTCCAGCCAGCATGCCTCAACAGTTGAGTATTGACCCATGATCCAGGAGAACTCAGTTGTTTTCCTGGTCAGGGCACATGCCCAGGTTGTGGGATTGATCCTCGCTGGGGGGTTTGCAGGAGGTAGCCAATAAATGACTCTTTCATCATTGATGCTTCTATTTCTCTCTCTCCCTCTCCCTTCCTCTCTTTGAAATCAATAAAAACATATTAAAAACAAAAGTGAAATAAAACTTTTGAATATAATCATGTATTCTAAAAAAAAGACTCACATTCTAAACAGNCAATGAAATAATCATGTATTCTAAAAAAAAGACTCACATTCTAAACAGGTGTCTGTCCACAGATTCAGCTCTGAGGCTTCAACGGGAATTGAAACTGTTAGCCTCATCAGCTAGTTATTGACAAAGAGAGGGAGCAAATGGACCCAGACATCTAATTAAGCCAGATTAACTAGGAAGATGTAGCTTCCAGGCACTCCAGGGGATAGCTGCATTGCCCTGCAAAGGGGATTAACATCCCTCTGTTTTTCCCAGGGGGCTGGAAGAACTGGCTTTCCAGTCCCCCAGAGGATAACCAGTCCATTCCCCCAGATTACAGGGGATGGAAAGCCAGTAAACAGGAAGAAATTCCTCTGCTGGGTGCATGCCCAGTAGAAGCCAGGTGCCCAGGCATAACTTTGGGCAAGTGCAGTAGGAGCCAAAATGGACACTATAAGGGGGAGGAGTCTAGCCTGCGAAAAGGAGAGGATAAGATTTACAATAGCTAAGATCTGGAAACAGCCCAAATGCCCATCAGGAGACAAGTGGACAAAAAAGCTGTGGGACATTTACACCATGGAATACTACGCAGCTGTAAAAAAGAATGATCTCTAACCCTTTGGGACAGCATGGAAGGACCTGTAGAGTATTATGCTAAGCAAAATAAGCCAGTCAGAAAAAGACAAGTGTCACATGATCTCATTCATATGTGGAAACTAATGAACAAAATAAACAGATGAACAAAACAGATCCAGAAACAGAGAAGCAGGGAACAGACTGAGGATTCTCAGAGGGAAGGCCAGGGTGGGTGGGTG